AGGTTTATAGGGTTTATAGGCTTTAGGGTTTGGGGTTTACAGGGTTTAAGGTTTATGGGCTTTAGAGCTTAGGGTTTATATGGTTTATAGGCTTTAGGGTTTGGGGTTTATAGGGTTGAGGGTTTGGGGTTTAGGTTTTGGGGCTTAGGGTTTAGGACCCTAAACCCTCAACCCTAAATTATGGGGAAGCAAAATGGAAATTAAAATAATGGAAGCAAGACCGTCATCAAGGTGGGACCAGGGGCAGGGGGAGGTTAGGGGTTTGGGAGTCGGGGGGTTAAGGGGTTTGGGTTTTTTTGAGAGTTTTAGGTTGGGGTTCGGGGGTTGTCGGCGGTTGCAGGGCGACATGAGCCATAATTAGTCTAAACTCCTTCAAGGGCGCTATGTAGGGGATTATACAGGGAAGCGAATCCTACAATGCTTGGGAAGGTGAGTTGCGCAGCTCTCGGCACTTCAAGAGCAGTGTTGAAGTTCTTTTGCGTGATTCTGTCTCCCAGTATAGACCTAGAAGTCAGTTCCGGCTGACACTTTAGCAAATAAATATAGTAGTTCTACAACAACGTAGTTTCCATATGTTTCCAGTTCTGTTCCAACTACAGTAGAACCGTGCCAGCTGGAAGCCCTGAACCCTAAACCCTATAAACCCTAAACCCTAATCCCTAGAAAGACCCCTATCTCATGGTTCTCCGATTCCCTCACCCACTCCCCTTGACCACCAGCAAGCTCAAAGGAGCCTTCGAATCCCTGAGCCCAAATCCAAAGTCCTGAGCCCTAGACCCTAAAAACCCCAAACGCCCAAGCCCTGACAACCCTGATAAGCCTAAACCCCAACCCTAGACCCCAAACCCTACATCCCACCCCCAAATCCCTAAAACCCCAGAACCCCTACACCCTACATCCCTAGACCCCCAAATCCCTAAACCCCACTCCCCAACCCCTAAATCCTACTCCCTTAATCCCTAAACCCTAAAACCGTAGCCGTAGCCAGGTGGATCCCATCCCAGTTGAGGGCTGGGCTTTGCCTGAGATGCCTGGGCTCATCACAGACTTCGCCATCTCTTTGGATGATCGATTCCTGTACCAGGGTTTATCTAAACCCTAAACCTTAAATAAGGCTTAAGGTTTAAGGTTTAGGGTGTAGGATGTTGGGTTAAGGGCTTAGGATTTTGGGTTTAGGGCTTAGCTCTTGAGATGCAGGGTTTAGGGTTCAGGGTTTTAGGGTCTGGGGTTTAGGGTTCAGACTTTGCATTAAGAAGCATGAAGCAGGAAACGCTCCGACCCAAAGCCCTGAAACCTATCAGCCCATTTCCTTGCCAAACCCCTTATACCCCAAAACTCCAAACCCTGAACTTTGAACCTATCGTAATTTCCATTTTCTTTTCCATCATCCCTATCAATAACCCCAATGTACTATAATAGCAGTTTCCATTTTCTTTTCCATTATCCCTATAGTACCTTATATTATCCCCATATTGTAAATCCTAACCTTCAGGTATCTCTCCAACTGGCTCCACGGGGACGTGCGCCAGTACGACATCACTGGCGAAGAGCCCCGCCTCGTGGGCCAGTTCTTCGCCCGGGGCTCAGGGTTGACGAGGTTTGGGGGTTTAGGAGTTTAGGAGTTTAGGGTTTGGGGTAATGGAAGCCTTGGCCCACCACTCCCTAAACCCTGAATCCTAAACCCTAAGCCCTATAAACCCTAAACCCTAAATAAACCCTAAACCCTACACACAAAATCCTAAACCCTAAGCCCTATACACCCTAAACCCTACACCCTGAACCACTGTAAAGGGACCCCTAACAGATCAGGTTGGCGGCTCCATGAAGAAGGGAGGCCCCGTGACCCGCACGGACGGTGGAGCGCAGCCGGAGCCTTTGGTGGTGAAGGCCTGAACCGTACCTGGACCCCCAAAGTAGGTAAACTAATAGCCCCAAACCCCAAGATATAGCCCAAAAGGCCATTATTTTACATACTTTTGGGGTTCAGGTAATCCTTAAATCCAAGCCCTAAACCCTAATCCCTAAACCCGAGTCCTAAACCTCAATCCCTAATCCCTAAACTCCAAGCTTAAAACCCTAATCCCCAAAACTTACTAAACCCTAAACCTCAAACCTTAAACCTTAAACCCTACATCCTCAACCCTAAAGCCTGAACCCTGAAGGGCGTGGAGATCCAGGGCGGGGCACAGATGGTCCAGGCGTCATCGGGGCACAATCGGCGGTACGCTCAGTAGGCCCTATATAACCCCTATATTAACCCCCCTAAAGGGTACCCTAAATAGTAGTTTCCATTTTCTATTCCATTATCTCAATATACCCCTAATATGTCCTTTTAATTCATCAGAATACGGGTCCTTCTAGTGGGTTCCTATCCTAATATGGGTCCTACACAAACTTCTCACATTTTGAAAGCAGCAGTTTGGGCCAAACCCTATGTACATGTACGTACATACATACATACATACATACATACATACATACACACATATGTATACACATGTGCACACGCGGAATACGTGCACATACGGACATATACCTGCGAATGCGCATACACATATGTATGCATATATATATATATATAGATATGTATGTATGTGTATATGTATGCCACATGTGTAGTTATATGTCGGACTCCAGAAGGGCGAGATATGGACATGTGTATATATATATATATAGATATGTATATATGTGTATATATGTATGCCACATGTGTAGTTATATGACGGACTCCAGAAGGGTGAGATATGGACTAGGGTTTAGGGCTTAGGGCTAGGGTGTAGGGCTTGGGGCTTAGGGCTTAGAATTTAGGGCTTAGGGCTTGGGGTTTATTGCTTAGGGTTTAGGCGTCTCGATCCGCTTTCAGGTTTCCCTGGACGGAAAGCGCCTCTACGTCTCTACCTCCTTGTTCTTTGCCTGTACTGTGGGCGACCTTTGAATCTTCTTCTGGGGTAGTACAAGTGCCCAAAGCCTAAACGCTAAGCCCGCAAACCCTAAGCCCCTATACCCTAAATCCAGACCAAAAGAGAATCTAAAGAAGCCCTAGACCTAAACCCTGAACCCTAAACCATACTGGAAAACTAAGGTTTTCCTCCTGGGACAAGCAGTTCTACCCCGAAATGGCCGGTAAAGGTGCGCAGCTGATCCAGTTGGATGTGGATACGGAGACTTACTCATGATTAGTTTGGAACTAGAGTTTAGGGCTTTGGTTTTTTCAGTTTTAGGGAGGCTTGCTCATGATCAGTTGGGACTTGCGGAGGGAGGCACCCTAAGTAGTAGGGACTCCTTTAGTGAGCCTTTTTGGGATCCAGTCTCTACTCACTACTGGGTTGCTGTTAAGGA